GAGTGCTCCCAATAAAGAATTAAAGGTAGCATTTTTCCCAACAAAGATCATCTAGGATTTTATAGAATGTGAAGTACCCTTTAGAAGGCTCATATCCGATGAATTTATGATGAACTTGTGGAAGTATTGACATATGCTGGTGGAGGGATACGGCCTAGGTCGTAACTGTGAACTGGAAATCCTCATGGGGATCATGCATCGGAGAATCAATCCATCTCGAGTGATGCAATTTTAAAGAAGTCGGTCGTTGCACCGACTGGGATTTGAATGTTAAAAATCTTGTGTACTTAGGGATATGAGAAACTGGGCAAACCAAAACGTCTCTATTTGGTCACCTACCTGGGAGGCCAGAGCCTTGAGGCCTCCCCTGGCTCATTGGCGATGGATAAGGGCATAAGCGTAGCGTGGATGAAAAAAGTGGGGGGGGGAGGAGAAATTGACGGGGGACTCTTTAATACTGTCAGTGCCGTCACAAGGGGTGGGCGAGCGGTGCCCCCGCACAGGACGCCGATTGGCTGCCGAATTATTAAAAAATTCATTCATCAATTCATCATCAGCAATCATCGAATTCATCGTAATTACTTGAAACGAAACGAAACACATTCTACGTTAATTTTTCAAATCAGATGAGAAGGGTGCCCCTCATTTCTGAATTTCCATTATGAAATGAATTTTCGCCTCCCACCTCCATGATGCATTTTTTTAATAATAAACGCCCATTAAAAGTTTTTTTTTTTAAATTGACCACAATTCTCTTTTAGTTGAAGCTGAAAGGACAGTCATCCCAAAAAACGTGTTGCTTGTAATCGAGGAAAATGCACGTTTTACTTTTACTATGACCAAAAGTTTTGCCGGTTTCGTCAGTGAATATGAATTTGTTAATCGACTGTCATACTTCCATCAAATATTATCATTAGATGAGATTTCATGTTCAAATACATTGTTCTCCATTGTTTCGTTAAAAGTACTGTATATGATCAAAAATAAGTTCAAAATGATTGTATTCTCCAGAAGACTGATAAGAATTAGTCAGTAAGTTGAAGTCAGGTCAGGGACGTTTTGAATTATATTCGAATTACGAAGGAAGCAAATTTAGTTTTCTTAAGTTTCATATAAATTTGCTCATTTTTCTACGTTTGCTCATGTGAACTACGTCGGTGGGTGGATGTTCTGCTAACCGTTGTGTACATCTAATTATAAATAGAAATCAAAATTTTTTGAAAAGGTAAGAGATCACTTTATTCTAGGTCTGTCAATTGATTAGTTTCATCAACCAAGCAATCGATTAAATTTATAATAGCGATAATAAAGATTAATAGAAATTGATCGAATTTGAACCGACCCTCTCAAATCTCCCTCTGAATGCTTCTTTCTTCTCTTAAAATTTGACTGTATAGTGCACAGCCTTGTAAAACAACCAAAAAGGAATGCTTTGTCGAGATTAAATGAAATTATGGCTCGTAGAAGGTTGTCATTTTTGCACTGCTCACTCTTCAGCAAAAATGAACTATTTTTTTTAAAAGGAAACGCAAAAACAAGGCCATCACTTTCAGAATATTCTCAAAATACCCAGTATATTTGCTTATGAAGCAAATGGAAACGAAAACGCGCAGAAGGAAGAGGGGATTTGGGTAAGAATCATATGTGGCAGAAGCGGCAGGTAAGAAGATAATGGGGAGACTGGGGAGTGAAAGGCAGAGCCGTACCGACGGGGCTGCCAGTGGTACGCCTGCACAGGGCGCCGATTGTCTGCCAAATCACTACAATATATGAATAAAACTTATGAAAAAAACTTGCAAATTATCCTGAATTAAAGAAATTAAATATAGGAATTAATATTTGATGTATTGTTGGTATTGGGAAAGCTGGAGAGGTATAGAGAGGGAGGGGGAGGCGCTGGGTTGATATCTCGCACAGGGCACCAAATATCCTCGGTACGGCGCTGGATACTGTTATCAAGCATTCTTGGGTCTTTCACTTATTTTCTTGAAAAGTGGGGGGGGCACGTGCCATCTTGATATCACTAACTCTCTTGACTCATTCCGTTTTTATTTCTCCGCCCCCCCCCCGACGCTACGCCACTGGATAAGGGTATCACATAGCGCAGGGGTCGGCAACCTTTCAGTTATTGCGGATTAACACGGCTCAGTCCTACGGGGGCCGCAGGGTGTAATTGATTGTGGTGCTGATCTGCCCAGAGGAGGCTTTTGAAAAGAATAAATGAAATATAAAATACTAGGTTGTAACGAAAGTTTTTGTGCAAACAACGCAACAGTCCGCGAAGCACGATTTTTTCGTCACACATTCTGAACGAAAGCGCGTCTTATGCCGCGTATAAATATATGTTGCCTTTTTTTCTTACAAATCAATAATTTATTTTAAAAATTACTGCGTTCAGAATGTGTGACGAAAAAATCGTGCTTCGCGGACTGTTGCGTTGTTTGTATGCACAAAAACTTTCGTTACAACCTAGTAAATCTCCTTTCTTCTTGGTGTGCTTCGCGGGTCGGATGAAATCTCTTCGCGGGCCGTAGATTGTCGACCCCTGACATAGCGCAGGCAATTAGGCATATAGGAATGTGAAAACCAATTTCAAAGGTTTTACCTTTCTTCAACCCCAACCCCAACCCCCCCTTTCTCTATGGAACTCAGAAACGTTAGGCCTAGGCCTAAACTGACGGACTGTCCTCTGGTCAGGCCTAGGCCTATCTTTTCGTTCATAAGAATCTCAATCCTCGACCTACGGACCAATTAGGCCTATAAGGATTAATCCCTCGTCTTGAGACACCTCGTTGAGGACGTGTAACGTTAGACCAATCGCAGGCCATTTCAGTCTCTCATGGCCCATTTAACAGAGAACGTGTAACGTAAGACCGAATGTAGGTCTTTTTCGAGTTCCATGAGCCATTTCAATGTGGTCGGGGAACATTAGGCCTATCCAGAGTTCCTCGAACCGTCTCGACTCGTTCTGAGAAGAAAGTGCCTTTAGACAGCAAGACATACGAGCTGACCGCCATCATGTTAATTTAGGGATGTCCGATGAGATATCTCCGTATTCCACCAAATCCAACAGCCACTGCAAGCCACCGCTTCAATCTCAGCTTATCCCATGAATTCAGCACAATAATGTCTCCTACATTAAAAAAAGAAAAGATCTAGACAACGATACTCAAGCTGAAGAAGTCAAGAATCTGACATAACTCCGACGTGATACCCGGCAACACTGGAGGACGGGATCGGAGCTAGCGCTCTAAGCCTAATTGAACGACAGCTAATTTCATTTTTTTAATGGCGAAATGGTGCATCGCAAACAACAAAAAGGGTACTTTTCGTCATCTACAAGTCAATATCTTTCGTTTGGTTGGTCTCTTTCCTCCGAAAGCATCCCAGGAGTGGCTACTCAGGGGGGGGGGGGGGGGGGGGGAAAAATAAAAACGGAATGAGTCAAGAGAGTTAGTGATATCAAGAGGCGATTTCGCCCATTTCGATATCACGTGTCGAGGTCGAGCGTTCCTTAATTTTAGGGTAGGCCTAACCCTCTTAAAGCTAAATATATTTTTATTTATTTTTTTTTTTACTATCCTAGTTGCTTACTGTCTAGT